GCCTGTCGGACTGTTGGACATAAAGAGGTACATACAAAACATTTATTATCCAGTTTTAATATGAATCCAAACCAGATTCGTAAAGCACAATGTAAAGTTAGATGATCTATTGCAGTTGCTTTCGGAGTTCTTTTCTCACCCACGAGAGATCACAGTGCTGCGTTGCTTGAGTGTTTTAGGTGCGACACAGAAATTGCTCTGTTTATGTTATATTATTGCTGAAGAATACAGACTCAAAGGCAGCGACTGGCAGCATTTGGGGTTTTATTACCTAATTATACACTATACGTATGATTATATGTATTGTCCGCTGTTTTCAAACTGTAGTGGTCAAATGAATACGCCAACTATAAAGCATCTATCACATTTAAAGAAATTTTTCGAGCCAACGAAATGGAAGTCATGTAGCTAAACTCATCTTTAGCATACCGGCTAAAAAATTATTTCCTAGCCTTACAAAGCTTTGTCCTTGTTTCTATTACAAACAGATGAGAATTATGGCATATAAAATAAATGAAGAAAAACAAATGGTTGAAAGCCCGCATAACAAACATACATGTATCTACTACGTTAATGTTAACATACATACATAAAAAACTGACCAAGAATTTATGTTAAGAATTAAAGTCGCAGTGGGGTAGATTACACTTGATATAATCGTAATATAATGAAGATTGAATCAGAAGAAATATATAGTGTACATATAAAAATATGTATAACAGTTCACCGGAGTTAAACCAAATGCGCTAAAAACAACGGAAAGCAATACAAAAAATATAAAAGCTAGAGGAACAATATATATTCATTTTATCTGTCTTTACCAACATATGCAGACACTCATTTCGTAGTCATTATTGTATCCAATAAAATAATCGGGAAAATGGGCATGCGTCACTCGTGATGAGATTAAAGCATCGCTCTGCAAAGGACAATAAAGGCTTTTATCAGAAAAAAAGGCGCGTTCGGAGCATAAGCTTTACAGGTAAAGGATTAGCATATGGTACGAAATTTCAGAAAAAGTACAAATACTGCAAGTATTCAAGTATTTCACTTTGAGTTGAAACAATGGATTGGTACAGTTTAGTTGTAGACAAAACAATTTGATGGCTTTTATGTGCTTTATTCGGCTAATTTGGAAGAGAATTTATCTGTGTCCAAATGAGGAAAACGATGGGTAGTTGAAGTTAGATTGCATATTTATATGAAAGTGTATGGTATCAGCATATGGTACGAAACACGATTTTCAGAAAACATATTATTACTGCAAGTCTGTGTCCAAATGAAGAAGTGATGGGTAGTTGAAGTAAGATTGCATATTCATATGAAATTTTATCACGAGTTGTTAAATTTTACAGGATTGGCCACAAATATTACCATGTTTTTTATTGCTGCACATTTCTAGCGGTAGAAAATGTTGCACGGAATTTTAGACGGCTTGCAGCTCTGAGACACTTTCGGGTTTTTTTAATTGTTGTGGATTCTTTTGGTAAACTTTATTACAATTACAACATACGGTAATCAACGGAATTGTCCTTTAATATGGACCTGTTTTCAAAAACATTTTTTTTACTACTTTTCTGAATTATCAAAGAAAACCAAGATGTCTTGTTAGCTTCTTACAGATTATTTAGTGTCTGTTTCAAGGCTTCGATTCATATTTTAAATATAGTTTACATTAGGGGATTTTGGGTCCCTGTTGGGGGCCAAAGTAGCTAGCTGCTCATTGTTTCTGCAAGTAATCTTTGTGGAGGAGCAATGATTAGCTTGGAGACAATTTATCGTAGAGGTTATTTTATGGCGACTTTTACAAAAACAATGCTTCTAAAAATGGATATCTATTAATTTGGAAAACTAATGTTCGTTTATATAAAATTTACATATATTGTATTGTATTTGAATACCAAACAGTGTGTTATTCATTTATTTTATTATTATTTTTTAATTACAGGCTAGCGTGTGACCCAGATTCAATAAAATGTTTTATATCAAATTTGGACTGTTGATGCTTGCAATTGTTCTAACCATTGCTTCGTCATATGGAGTGAGGGTAATTCTTTTGTCTTATTATTTTCTTTCAAAACCGACTAAAATGATGTGCCTATAATGACGGTTAAGGTTATCATGTATTTAAGTACACAGAAAGACTACAATGTAGCATGATGTTGCAATCAAAATTATATAACAAATTGTTTGTCATTCTACTTAAAGGGATAATAACTCTTCGTATGAGATCTATATTTCACAATAAAAACATTGTGAATAACTCAAAGAAATATAACATATTCTGTTTTACCACAAAAATGGCAGTTATAGCTATTATTCTGATATCTGAGCTTGTCTTTAGACCACGTGACCTCCATTGATGGCTATACTCTGTTAAAATCTCTTAAGAGATTTTAACAAAAAAACAAGCTTTTTAGAAAAAAACCAGGGACTAAATTTGAATGTAAAAATGGATTCATTAACCATTGGTAAGTATGGGAAAATTGTTGTCTACTCTAGGAAAATTCATTTTTTGGCCAAAACGAAGAGTTATTATCCCTTTAATTTAATAAAAGCTTTAATGTCGCCTTTTTGTAGCAGTAATTTTTAGTGATCACTTTAATTTAAAATGAAATGTTCTAATCTAGGTTGCACAGGACAACAACAGAGATTTTACTCCGTATTGGCGTATAAAATTCAAAAAAATATTTGACATCTTTGACGTCAATAAGGACGGCAATGTAACGAAGGAAGAGTACATTGATTTGTCAACGGAGCGAGCTGCACTGCCATCCTGGAGAGCTAAGGCAGTCTATGGAGTAATGACCATGGCCTATAAAACCTGGTGGTCGAATGAATACACCGACTATAAGACGTCTATTGCATTTGAGGATTGGGTTCAGCCTTTTGAAAGGGTTTCCGGCTCTACAAGTGCTATAGTCTTCGAATGGGCTATGGATTTTTTCCATATTGTTGACCTCGACTGCAGCGAGGACTTAACGCTTAGTGAGTACTCTAAATTCCTTGATATATTTCGCAGCAAGGCGAATAATAGAGCCGTTTTCCATGCCACTGACAGAGATGGTGATGACACCATTGACGTTAAGGAGTTCACCTATGGTGTAAATCATTTTTCCTACGACCAAGCAGCCAACTCCGCTGCATATATTTTTGGCTCACGAGATTAAAAAGGATTTGGCTTAAGACATTTTCATCGTTGTGTTTTTCACATTACGATCAACTGTCTTGACAACACAAAAGCTTTAAAATTAAAAGCTTTAAATTAATAAAAAATGACGTATAGTTGCTAATTTTCTCACGTGTTAGTGATGAAAGCATGTCATTTTCTTAAAATATATGTCAGCAAATTCTGGATCAAATAAAAAGTGTAAATTTAAGCTGGTCGAGTATTTCTGCTGATTATAGTGTCTACACTAGTATATATATATATATATATATATATATATATATATATATATATATATATATATATATATATATTACTCGTGTAACTAATAGGTCTTTTATAGTTAATCCATCTACTTCAATATTTCTAGTGTCCTATTCTGACCTTTCAAAATATCCATGAATGTATTCGAAGACATTTGTTTTGCGTGCAGCTGTACTGCATAAAAGGAAAAAAAGTCACAATAAAGAAGGCATGGTCATTTTAATATTCACGAGCTTCTAGCGTAAGATATTTTTTTTAAATTTAGCTGTCGATGTCTTTCACAAGCCTGACAGCATAAAGAGTTTCTTTTGTCACTTGGTAGCCTATCCTATATGAAATAAAGTTGGATGTTTACATTTTAATTTAAGTTGCATGTGTTTTATTTTGAAACTTTTTTTGGTTTTCATTGCATATCATTTATCATATCCACATTGCATTAATCAAACTTTTAGAGGTTTGTGCTTTATTTAATTTCGAACTCGTTTTGCTCTTTTGTGTACCCTTTATTTTTATGTAAATATTTTTAGGTGGTGATACGTTTTCTTTTTAAGGTCATAGACACCTTCAACCTTTTGGTTGCTGTGTATTAATAAACTTATTATATTAAGCCCCAAGGAAGTCCAATATGACGGACTTGCCTTTCTAGGACTCCGATAGCGATGATATCGCGTCAATCACTCAGAAAAAAGTGTTGCCCTATGGTATTAAAAATCAAGCGAGGTTATCAAAACAGCTTAGGCAGATCATAAGTGAGACATCCGCTAGTGTGTGACTGCCTGTGCGTCTGTCTATCTGTCTATTTGTCTGTTCATCTATCTATCTATCTATCCATCTATCTATCTATCTATCTATCTATCACAAAAGAGGCAATTTGCTTTAACGGTTTTCAAATGTTTGACAACAGTCCTATTTTTGTCTTATAGACCGTATGAAATGTAATTTGATGTTTACATCCAGTGGTACAAATATCTGCTTTTAAAAATGAAGGTAACATGGAATTGGCAAAATGTCGAATTGGGGACACGTGTGACTAATAATTTTCATCCCGAGAATACTGTGAAATGATGGTATTAAAATACACCACTCTCTCTTTAAAAAAATTACATTACAAAATAGATCATGATTAAAACACGTACGCTTTAATAAAAACATTAGCAGACGGCTCGGTTTTTTTCACTTGAAAGCTTTCGATCAATGACTTTCATTGAAAATACTAATGAATAGACGATTAAAAAGAAACTGTTGCAGCTAGGGGGACTTCTGGTAGAGGGTTCAGTGTAGATTTTTCCTCGGATGATTAACATCTTGACAGCAGTATCACGACCTAGGCCTAAGCGAGTTGAATGGAAGATTTTGTCCAAGCATCTTTTTCCTAACCACTGAGTTAGGATGAAGGTGTAGTTACATGTACTGTACATTTACAAGACGTGATCAAAGAGAAAAATTTACCTCCATGTGTGTGAAATAAAGCAAATTCAGTGATTGAATACGTACTGATAGTAAGCAAGCAGCATCGTTCACAATAGGTCTCTTAACATGCGACTTTCCTACAAACGGACATGCGAGAATGACCCCTGCCGCCACGTGTGGAGACAAAAGGCAGGTTCGGGTGGAATATTAGGGAGGCAATACTACAGGGAACTGCACGGCTGCAGATATTTGCTGAGCGAGCTGGCTACGCGAAATTTGCCAACATTTCTTTGAGCTGCAGGGATCCAAACGGTTACGCTCGCCGGCCAAGCTCGTCGAGGACTGCCCTATAATTATGAACACTTGGGGTTCTAGGTATTACGGTAGGGAGGTAAAACCTTTAACCGCTAGTGTGTATTTTCTAAACTACTAATCATGTTAGTTATGGCATCTGGAATGAAAATCACTATTCATTGTAATTAACTCCTGTAATGTAATCATTTATTAATGAAAGCACATGATACTTTCTGTGTCGAAAGTGGCTGAAAAAATGAAAAGGCTTTGCAGTAAGAAACGATAAATTGCAGTTGGATCTCTCTGAGTTGTACATATAGCCATGTATTTGTGTGTTTTTATAGTGGATGCCACACAGTTAACTGCTGCGATGAGTAAAATGGCGTATAAAATAAACAAAGAAAAAACATATCGTTGGAAGCCCGCATGACAAACTTAACTGCTACGTAAATATAAACATACATAGAAAAGCCCGTCCCAGAATTACTGATAAGAATTAAAGTCACAGTGGGGTAGCTTACACCTGAAATAATCGTAATATAATAAAGATTGAATCAGCGGAAATATATAGTATAGTGTACATATATAAATATAGCAGTTCACCTTAGTTAAACCAAATGCGCTGAAAGCAACGGGAAGAAATATCAAGAGTAAGAGGGGAATATTAAATATCTGCACTTTTTTTCTGTCTTTACCTAAATATGTAGACATTCATTTTGTAGTCATAATTTTATCCAATAAAATTATTGGGAAAATGGGCATGCGCAATAAAGGAAAGAATGAATAAATACTCTGCGTCACTCGTGATGAGAATAAAGCATCGCTCTGCAAAGGACAATAAATGTTTTATCAGAAACCACCCGGCGTGTTCGGAGCATAAGCTTTACAGGTAAAGGATCAGCATATGGTACGAATTATGATTTTCAGAAAAAGTACTTATACTGCAAGTATTTCTACTTTGAGTTGAAACAATGGATTGGTACAGTTTAGTGGCAGACAAAGCAGAATGATGGCTTTTATGTGCTTTATTCGGCTAATTTTGAAGAAAATTAAGTCTGTGTCTAAATAAGGAAAACGATGGGTAGTTGACCTTGGATTGCATATTTATGTGAAATTGTATGGTATCAGCATATGGTACGAAACACTATTTTCATAAAAATGTACTATTAGTCTGTGTCCAAATGAAGAGGTGATGGGCAGTTGAAGTTAGTTTGCATATTTATGTGCAATCGCATCACGAGTTGTTAAATTATATAGGAATGGCCACAAATATTACCATGTCTTTATTGCTGCACATTAATAGCGGTAGAAACATGTTGCACGGAATTTTAGACGGCTTGCAGCTCTGACACAACCAAAGTTGTTTGAATTATTGTGGATACTTTCGGTACACTTACACTTACAACATAATCAACAAAATTGTCCTTTAATATGGACCTGTTTTCAAAAATTTTTTTCTTGCTACTTACTTGAATTATCAGATAAAACCAGGATGTACTCCTTAGCTCCTTAAAGATTATTTATTGTCTATTTTGAGACTTTGAGAACCGTAAGTAAAGCATTACAAAAGTATATGGCTGTTATAAGTGATAAAATAACCATTGCATACGTTTTTTTTTGGTATCTTTATTTCCCAAATTAACCTCATAGGGTAAAGATTGATTAGTAACTGCTTAGTAAGAGAAACGTCTCCCCTTGCTGCAGTTACGCTCTTCAAGAGACAATACCATAATTCTGACAGGTTTTTTCTTAGTCGGTCTTACTCCTAGTCTTTGTCGGTTCACATTTGGCAGTTTTATGAGTGGACTGTTAAATCAGAGAGTGATTTATGCCCTATGTTTTAAATAGGGTTCACACCAGGAGATCTTGGGTCCCTGTTAGGAGCCAAGGTAGCTAGCTGCTCAATATTTCTGCAAGTAATCTGTTTGAAGGAGCATTGATTTCCTTAGAGACAATTCATAGCAGAGGTTAATTTTACAAATTCAAAGCTTCTAGAAATGGATAAATGGGTATTTGGAAAAATAATGTGTGTATATTTATATACTTTGAATAATTATATTTTATTTGAATACCAAAAGGTGTGTTATTCATTTTTTTTTTAATTACAGGTTATCGTCTGACCCATATTCAATAAAGAATGTTTTCCATCAAATTTGGACTGTTGCTGCTTTCATTTGTTCTAACCTTTGATTCGTCATGTGGGGGGAAGGTAATTCTTTAGTATTATAATTTTCTTTCATAACCGACTTAAATGATGTGCTGGAAATTGGAGAGAGCCTCTTTAAAGAGCATAAGCCCATAATGACGGTTGAGGTTATCGTGTAGTTCAGTACACAGAGAGACTACAATGTAGCATGATGTTGCAATCAAAATTATATGACAAATATTTTGTGATTCTAATTAATTTAATAAAAGCGTTAATGTAGCCTTTTAGTAGCAGGAATTTTAGTGATCTCTTCAATTTAAAATGTAATTTTTTTTATCCAGGTTGCAGAGGATAACAAAGATTTTACTCCGTATTGGCTTAAGAAATTCAAAAACTTCTTTGACATCTTTGACGTCAATAAGGACGGCAATGTAACAAAGGAGGAGTACATTGATTTGTCGACAGAGCGAGCTGCACTGCCATCCTGGAGAGTTAAGGCAGTCTATGGTTTAATGACCATGGCCTATAAGACCTGGTGGTCGAATGAATACACCGACTTTAAGACGTCTATTGCATTTGAGGATTGGGTTCAGTCTATTGAAAATATTTCCGGCTCTACCAGTGATATACATGTAGTCTTCAAATGGGCTATGGATTTTTTCCATATTGTTGACCTCGACTGCAGCGAGGACTTAACGCTTAGTGAGTACTCTAAATTCATTGATATATATCGCAGCACGGCGAATAACAGGGCCGTTTTCCATGCCATTGACAGGGATGGCGATAACGTCATTGATGCTAAGGAGTTCATCTATGGGACATATCATTTTTCCTACGACCAAGCTGCCAACTCCGCTGCATATATTTTCGGCTCACGAGATTGAAATCGATTTGGCTAAAAAGCAAGTCAGTGGGTGTCCATTTAATTTTGGTTGAGGGATGACTTTTCTGATATTTCACACCGTATTCTTGCCTGTCGCAATATTTATTTAAAAACTTATCCGCTTTTGAAATGTATCAATTTTCATTCAATTTGAATTTTTCAAGTAAATGCTTCAGGCCAACGCAACTACCAGTCTCGGCACTGAATGATCCTGAATCACCGGTAGATCGGAGCACAATATCCGTTTTCAAGGTCTGTATCAGTACGCGCTACGAAGTATCAACCGCGACACCGCGCTTGCATCGTACGCGATATGATAGTGATGATTTTCAGCGGGGTTGGAAAGTAATGCCTCTCATCTCAAAAATTGTTACGGGGAATGATACTGTGAAATGCCTACTGACGCACACCTTAAAAAGTAGTGTGGTCCGATCTACGGGTAAATTAGCGATAATTAGCGAGTCTGGTAGTTGGGTAGGCCTGTGCTTCAAGCAATCAAATTGCTTTGACTCATATTTAGTGTACTGGGTATTTGAATAAATGGATTCCATTCTTTTATCTTTGAACTATCTATTTTCATTCAGAAATATTTTATATGAGAGAGCAAACGAGGAAACATGTATCCTAAATTTTAACATCCAAACATTTTCATCGTTGTGTTTTTCACATTGCAATCGACTGTCTTGCCAACACAAAAAATCTTTAAATTATTAAACATGACGTAAAGTTGCTTATTTTCTCACGAAATGCGTTTATTATGAATGCATGTCATTTTCTTTAAATATATGTCAGCAAATTCCCAAACTGCTGGATCAAATAAATAGTGTAAATGTGAGCTGGTCGAGTATTTCCGCTGTTTATAATGTCTACACTAGTATATATATATATTACTCGTGTAACTAATAGGTCTTTTATTGTTGATCCATCTACAGGTACTTCAGGTGTACTTCTCTGATCTTTCAAAAATTCCATGAATGTTTTCGAAGAAATTTGTTTTGCGTTCAACTGACCTGCATATAGGCCTAAGTGAAAAAATCATGATAGAGAAGACATGGACATTTTAATGTTCACAAGCTTCTAGCGTAAGATATTTTTTAAATTCAGCTTTCGATGTCTTTCACAAGCCTGAGCTTCTTTTTTCACTTGGTAGTCTATCCTGTAAGAAATGAAGTTCAATGTTTACATTTTAAGATGATGGATGATAGAGCTCTGTGCATCTTTCTTTGCCAAAATAAAAAAGGAAAACGACAGAGACAGCCGAATTATCAATTTACTTGCAAACCAGTCAGAAAAAAGGCATAACCAGTGAAAATTTATTGTACCAAAATTCAGAACCGAACGTTTTAAAAATACCTTTATTCCGTCTTCTTTTCAAAATTTAGGGATGGGATCGGTGTTTCATTCTAGAACTTATCTTGGTCCTCATTGCATATCATTTATCATATCTCCATTGCATTTATCAAACTTTTAGAGTTTTGTGCTTTATTTATTTTAGAACTTATTTTGCTCTTTTGTATACCCTTCATTTTATGTAAATATTTTAGATAGTGATACGTATTCTTCTCAAGGTCATGAACACCTTCAACCTTTTGGTTACTGTGTATAAATAAACTTATTATATTAAGCCCCGAGGAAGTCCAATATGACGGATTTGCTTTACTAAGACTCTGATAGCGATAAGAAATCACATAAATCACTCAGAAAATTAGTGTTGCCCAGTGGTATTAACAATCAAGCGTGGTTATCAAAACAGCTTAGGCAGATCATTAAGTGTGTTATCTGCTAGTGTCTGTCTGTCTATTTGTCTGTCCATCCATCCATCTATTTATCTATCCATCTATCTATCACAAAAGAGACAATCTGTTTCAACGATTTTCAAATGTTTGTCAACAGGATGTCCTGTTTTGTCTTATAGTCCGCATTAAATGTTGTTTGATGTTTACATCCAGTGATACAAATGTATGTTTTTGAAAATGGAAGTGTAAGATGATTGGTAACATGTCGGATAAGGGACAGGCGTGACTAATAATGTTCATCCCGACAATACTGCGAAATGATCGTTATTTTAATACACCACTTTCATTGAAACAAATAATAGATAATACTGGGTTCTGTAAGAGAAGCAACAAACCTCTGGTAAGTTAAGGTAAATAGAATTATATATTGATGGATATAGTCTGTATTGAATGTGTCAACAACTTCAGTCATTTCAACAACTTTAAGATCCAATGTTCACAAACATTGGAATTTCAGTTGATCGACCGAACTCCGAAGCGTTTATGATACAAACCTTATGATACTGCACTGCCTGTGTGCTGTAAAGGTTGCCACATGTAGACCTACCAAAATACAGGCACTCTTTTATTGTTGATTCCAGATTGCATATCTAAGTTCCTGTGTATGCAAAGTAAAGCAATAATATTTTCTTATATGAAGGGTGTTGTATAAATTTGTATTTCACACTCGATGAACGTTGTAGAGTTTAGTTTAAGTTGTTTGTTACTTTTGTTTTAGAAATCTGAACAATACAGAATCCATATAAGAATGTCCTCAATTAATCTGAAAGTTCTTTTCCTTCTTATGGTTGTTCAGAATATCTGCTCTTCGAAGATGGTAAAGGTATGTCCAGGTACGAATTTGTTATTGTCTTTTGAATATTAAAGAAGCTAGACTACTTTAAATCGGGTGTCTACAAGAATCGTAAACTGCTACTGTAAACAGTAAAAGGAAACGAAGTGCGGCAGTTAAATGGCAGGAGTTAAATATGTTATAAGAAACACAAAGTGCATTTTGTAACGCATAGAAAATCATATATGATATAATAATAATAATAATAATAAAGGTTTATTGTGTTCTTTGCAATATATAAGACATATATTGAATGTATATGTATAAAAGTATAAAGATGTAGTACTAAAATAGAGCTTTAAGATAAATTCTAAGTTATAAAACCAATAATGAGGTTAAAAATGGTGATTCGTTGTTATTTTCAAAAGCTAAAAGTTAATGGATAGACCTAGATCATTGACACGTATATAAACAGTATGGGATAAAAGTGTTTCTATATCTTTTTGTCCGACATTTTGGTAAAACATATCTATAAACATTCCTTAGGTCCTTTTCTATGACACGAGTGTTAGGTAAAAGATGGTTCAATCTATGTGTACACAGTTTTATCTCCTTAAATAATTTTTTGCATAAGTCAGTACGCCGAGATTTCAAGGTAGATAATTCAGTGATGTCCATTGCTTCGTTGTAAGTGAGTTCAGGGTATATAATATGAAGAGCCCTTTTTTGGATGTTCTCTAAGGCTTTAGATTGCTGTGCGGTAATTCCAGCATGCCACAGCTGACAAGCGTACTCAAGTGTTGGTCTAAGATTGCTTTTATAAATTTGTAAGAGGTCATGTCTCGGCACCCCAGCGTGTTTGACCATGCATAAGAAATACAGTCTGGATGCAGCTTTTGAGAGAATTTTTTCTATATGTAAGTCCCATTTCAAATTAGAACTGATATGAACTCCCAGCAGTTTGGCATGTGAAACTTGTTCGATTTTTATACCATCAATTATTAGGTTATCAGGCACAGTAGGGTTTTTACTGAAACAGATAAACAGTTCAACAGTTTTTTTAGGATTGATTAGCATGTTATTTTGTTTTGTCCATTCATATAGGTTTGAGGCTGCTATGGGAAGTTTAGATTGTGTAGGTTTGGCACCTTGTTCTATTTCCCTTGGAGATGGTTGGTGAACTGTCTCATAAACTGTAGTGTCATCCACATATTTTACTACTGGTAAAAAACATTCCATGTCATTTATCATTGTAATGAAAAGGAGAGGTCCTAATTTTGTACCCTGGGGCACGCCCCCATGAATATGGCACCATTGTGACATTACTGATCCACACTTGATCCGTTGCTGTCTATTTAGTAAAAAGGCATGGACCCATCTGAGTAATACTGGAGGTACTCCATAGCTGCAAAGCTTGCCTAGCAAAATATTGTGGTCTATTAAATCAAACGCTTTTCTAAAATCAAGTAATAAAACCCGAGACTGTGCCCCATGAGTGTCACTGGCCTTGGCCCAGGTGTCAAATAGCTCGATTAAGGCCATTGTGGTGGAGGAACCTTTAACATTGCCAAACTGATCTTTCTTAATATGTGGTCCTAGTATCTCCCACAGCCATGTAAAAATGAATGCTTCCAATTCCTTGCTGAGGATAGGTGTTAGGGAAACAGGTCTTAAATCATTTTCCACGCTCAGTGCTGGTTTAATTTTAGGCAGTGGCACTACATTGGCACATTTCCAGATTGTTGGTAGCTTTCCTTGACGTATGGTATTGTTCCAGATTGCACATACTGGTG